GATGTCTCTGGAAGGTTACAGCTGGAGGGAAACAGCTCCGGAGCTTGCTGCTAATTGGTGCACACACAGATATATGGCTTGCAGAGGTCTGCTTTTTCACATTTCAAGTGTGAAATCCACCCCTCTAGACAGCAAGTGCTCCTCATTGCAGAAGAATAGGCAAGAGAGCCTCGGAGCAAAGGAGAAGAGGAACCAAAAGGCAGGGTGCTAAAATGTCCCAAGTAAACATGCTAAACAACGCCAGATTGATGGGCACAAGCATATGCAGCCATAAGGAAATTGTCTGAAACCTGGGCAAGGGCAGAACTCTGTGGCCTGATGTGATTGGCACCCCATTCTGTCAAGTAACTATTTCTAATGAAAAATAATTAAGCAGTTTTCTATTAGATGTTAGTGTTGGTAACCGACATTCTTGTGACGTTTAAGAAGACATTTACCCAGGCCACAGCTTTCATACAGTCTTATGACTATCCTGATTATCCTGAACAGGCCCACCTACCCATCTGTCCATCCTTCCTCCCCTCCTCCCCCACCCTCATTCCCTCCCTCTATCCCTTCATCATTTTTTGTACTTTTTTCTTTCTTTATTTCCCATATTCTTGCTTTTTAGAAATTTCCAAATGACCTGGCCTGGAGGAAAGTTTTGAACTTGTCTTCTTGTGAACCTTTTGTTTTTGGGAAGTTCCAAAACAGGTCCCTGGCACTTAATTGTTTGCATCCAATTCATGTGAAAAAGCTGCTTGCTAATCATATAATAGCAATAGGTGTAATGTGCTGTGCTCTGTGTCTTTTCAGATGTACTGTATATCATCATAATTTATCAAAAGTACTCCAGAAAATGAGAGGAGCACACTCACCTGTCACCAGGAGCTGGCCCCTCCCCTTCTGTCATCTCACAGTTTTCTTCCTGCTTCACTTCCCTTTTGCACCTCAATTGTGTCCATAAAATACAGTTCTAAAAAACATTTGAAGTTTTCGTCCAGTTGGGATCAATAAATAGTTGTTCAATTCATGGCAAATGCTTCTCTTCATAGGCCTGGGACATCTTAATGAGATGAGGGATGGGTGACTTTCACAGGCCAGAAGATAAAGGAAACACCTATAGATGAAGCCTAGCGTTAAGTGGTTGGAAGATACTCACTAACTGTCATTGCTCTGCAAGTCACTGAGATAAGAACCAGGAGAGGTAGACAGTCCCTGTTCTCAAGTATGTGGAAATGTAGGAGGGGTATGACACAGGGAGCACCGACTGTTGCAACTTTTATACAGACCAAGCTAAGTCGTTGGTCTGAACCAGCCTCAAGACTGAATTATAAAATATGTTTAAAAATCAATGAGATAGAGATTGTCAATTCCGCTACCAGGAATTTATTCTACAGATATACTTACACATATGTGAAATTATTTATATATGTCTTATTTGTTATAACAAAAGTCTGGAAGTAACCAGAATATTTATCAGTATGGTCTGGTTAAAAAATTAATGTGCATGTATTTAATCAAATACTATGTAACCAATAGAATGCATGAAATGAACACAACTCCAGGTAACATTGTAGAGTTAAATAAAGTAAGACAATCATAAGCCAAACCACCATATAATAAAACTATAATCTTCTACAATGTGTGTAAAGAAATAAAGAAATTATATGTATACATACCTGTTTATGCAAACAATATATATGTTTATCAAAAAACTAAAAAAAAAGATTAAAAAGGCTAAGTGGCTGAGAAGCAGGAGTAGGAAGGAAACTGCACGTTTTATGTCCTTTATATGTTATACTATGAATATGTATTACGTTTTAATAAGTTAAGCTACATAAAAATACAAAGATAGAAAAAAATTATAAATACTACACAGTGGTAAAAAAAAATGAAATCCTGTCATTTGCAACAAATGGATGCAACAGGAAAACATTATACTTAGTGAAATAAGCCAGTCCCAAAAAGACAAATGCCATATGTCTTACCTAAACTGTGGTAACTAATAGAGTATCTAATAGGTAATGTGTATTAGTTATATAATATGTAATGTAGTAATGTATATTAGTGCGATGACTTTGAACAGCCCTAGTCTCCAAAGTGTTTTGTTTCTCCTCACACTATTTGTTGAACTCTTCACTTAACATAGGGTTAATTTTATTTGTATAAAGTTAATTGAGAGTAGATCTTAGTAAAAAATAAGGATGGGAATAGGAGAGGGAGGAGGAAGAAGGGTGGGAGTGTAGGTGGGAAGGAGGGTACAGTGGGAAAAATCACTATGTTCCTAAATTTGTATATATGAAATGCATGAAGTTTGCATATCTTAAATAAAAGTTGTCTAGGTAAAAAATAAAACAGCAAAAAAGTCAACACTGACCACTTCCAACATTGAAAGATCCTTAACTTCAGTTCAGAATATGAGGGGTGAGCATTGTGGTGCAGCGGGCTAAGCTGCCACGTGCACCACCTGCAGCCATATCAGAGTGCAGGTCTGAGTGCTGGCTACTCCGCTTCTAATCCACCCCCCTGCGAATGCACATGGAAGGCAGCAGATAATGGCCCAAGTGCTTGAGTCCCTGCTACCTATGTGGGAGAACTAGATGGGGTTACTGGCTCCTGGCTTCAGCCTCACCCAGCCCTAGATGTTATTGGCATTTTGCATTTAACCAAAGAGATGGAAGGCCTCTCTCTCTGGCCCTCCCTATCACTATGCTTTTCAAATAAATACATAAATAATCTTTAAAAAGATATCAGAGAACAAAAAAAAAAGAAAAAATATAAATAATGAGAAAAATAGGGCAAAGGAACATTAGGAAAAGAGTTGAAAATAAAGACAATGGGTGGATGTTTAGCCTAGTGTTGAAACACCAGTTAAAATGTCCACATCCCACGTCAAACTATTTGGGTTCAATTCTGAACTCAAATTTCTGACCCTAGCTTCCTGCTCATGTAGGCCCTGAGAAGCAGGGAATTTGTGGCAGCCAGGTGGGCTCCACTTGGTCTGGGGTTACATGAAGGTAGCAGCTGCATTCTGCCCAGACCTAAGTTTCCCCACAAAGCACCCCAGGACAACACTGGCCTTCAGGGTTCTTATCTGTTGGAGAAGCAAATGACCCTTGAGTCCAGTGATTAGAACCTTGTTGGCCAGTTGGATCACTCCTTCAAGTGAATTCCTTTTGATAAAGGACACCAAGGACACCTTGGGCTAGTGGGGATAAACACGAGGCTGGGTCCTGTTTTTACATCGTAGGAGTTCAGTTCCAGAAGCCTTTGTACTTCTCCCTGCCTGACCTTGGTGCCTCTTTGAGTTCTGCTGATTCACAATAGGTTTATTTGTCCACTGTGTGGACGCCATTTTACTGTGAAAGGCTGAATAGTACTAACCAGAGATACAGAGAGTATGCTTTGGCCTCTGATCCTGGTTTGGGGACTGGAATCTTGTTCTCTAGGATTCCTGAGATCTGCTGCATGAGTTTGTTTTCTGTTGCTGTAATGAAACAACACCTGAGACTAGGTACCTGATAAAGTAAGGAAGTTTGTTTGATGCACAGTTCTGCTGACCAAGGGTCCAACCAGCATAGCACCAGCATCCTGGTGAGGCCCCCTGACTGCATTACAGATGGCCAAGGCATCATACTGGGGACCTGGGGGAGGGAGAGAGCAAGTGGCAAGCCAGGAAACCAGAGAGACTTAGGGGCCTAGCTTGCTCTTTTTATTTTTATTTCTCAAGATGTATTTCTTTATTTGAAAGGCAGAGTGACAGAAAAGAGAGACAGAGATCTCTGTCTGCTGGTTCAGTCCCCCAAATGGTCACAGCAGCCAGAGCTAGGCCAGGCTAAAGTCAGGAACCAGTAATTCCATTCAGGTCTCCGGCATGGATGGCAGGGGCCCAAACACTTAGAACATATTTTGTTGCTTTCCTAGGCACATTAGCAAGAAACTGCATCACAAGCAGAGCAGCCAGGTACCCCAAACAGCTCTTTAATATGGGAGGCCAGTGGCACACGTGGCACAGGCTGGCCCCTTGCTATTTTTATAATAATTCATTCTTGAGGGAACCAACTGGGTTCCTATGAGACCTACATCCAGTTTCTTCCGAGAGCAACATCCATAGTGACCTACCAGCCTTCCACTAGCTCATACCTGTTAAACGCCACCACGCCAGGAACCAAGCCTCTAACATGTAAACTTTTGTGGACCCCTCAGAACGTACCCAAACAGTAGCATCCGCCTTAGGTGGAGACTCTTCTTACAAGGTTGTTCACCTCACCGGCCTCTAAAAACCCACAGTACTTTTTAAGCAACACGCCTGACTCACAAAGTATTATAACATTATTTAAAATTTCAAAACATGTGGAATCAATATTATGCCCCAAACTGAATTAAACTTGTTATAATATGGAGGATGATTTTTTTAAAATGTTTAGTTTGAAAGGCAGAATGACAGAGAGAGGAGAGACAGAGATCTTCCATCCATGGGTTCATTGCTCAAATGCTTGGATTAGCCAGGGCTGGGCCAGACCAAAGCCAGGAGTCTGGAGTTCTAACTGGGACTCCCATGAGGGAGGCAGAGACCTTAGACTTGGGCCATCACCTGCTGCCTCCCAGGGAGCACGTTAGCAGAAAGCTGGTTCAGAAGTGAAGTAGCCAGGACTTAAATTGATTCCGGGCACTCTGATATGGGATACCAGCATCCCAAGTGGAGGCTTTGCCCCCTAGGCCAACCATCTGTCCAGGAAGATTTTAACACTTACAGCAGTCTGGAAATTTTGGTACCTTGTAGAGGAAGGAGAAAGAACGGGATAAAGCATCCTTGCGCTCAGAGCTCTGCCCTGTCACCACCTAGCGGGCGAGCAGTTCCCACAGCAAAGGCCAGAGGCCGCGTTTCTCCAGGGGCGATCAGGGTGTTGCCACTTGGGGCCTGGAGTTGGCTGGTGGGAGAAACTCAGGGTTCACTTTTCTTTATACACCTGATGTCATTTTTGTTTGTTTTCCGTCCTCTTTGTCTCGCCTGTTAGAGCATTGTGTGCACTGGCCGGCGTCGATGGCACCCAGATCCCCTGCTGATCCACTGCATCCAGTCCTGCGAGGTAAGCCATTCCCCCTCCCGAGTCCCAGGCTCCTGCCCTCAGGTCCACGTGCCCTTCCTTCAAATCCTCCTCCTTCCTCCACCTTTGTCAGTGTTTAATCTGTGCAATGTAGTTGGCTGCAGCGTCTCAAATTCACAGAAATGATGATTTCCGATTTTTGCTATTTTTTTAGCAAAATCTTCAGGGCTCCACTCTAACAAAAAGTAAGTTAGAAAGCAGTGAGAATGATTTAAAGCTTTGGGGTTCTGTCATGAGGCCTTGTTTGACATTAGGGAGATCAGGAGTCCACACACAGTTTTGTTGGACCACCACAGTTTCTAGAAGCAATTTTATTTTGGTTGTCAATTGTTAAAAATGGGATTTTTCCATAAAGTCTTTCTGTACATATATAACATTGTGTGCATATGCACACACCCCCAATAAAAATAAGTATAAAAAGCTGTTTGTACAAAGATTTTTCTCTCGAGGAAGCACATCTAGCAGTTGTGGAAACAGTTAGCTGAGTGTGAGTAGCAGCTACAGCCAACCCCAGTGGGTGACTGTCTCCAGTTAGCAAACCTGGCCTGGCCCCACAGCTACAGGCCTGCCATGCCTTCCTCAATACCTTAACCACTGATGAAGCCAGACTAAGCCTTGACTGCCCCCAGGAACCCTGTCTACCTCTGTACACAGTGGATTCCACTTCCCATAGGGGAGCGGACTCTGGGTGCTGGGATTCCTTAGCTAGGTTAACCGGAGTTACCAAGGAAGAGTCAAGAATGAGACAGAGCCTGGTAGAGGGACAGTGAGCCAGCATCCTGACTTGGGGGAGGAAGAGTGTCTGTCTGTCTGTCTCTCTCTCTCTCTTTCACACACTAATACACACATGTGCACGCGGGTGCGCACATCAGCTAAGCCTCCCACCCTAGGAATAGCCCCTGACAAATATAGATACTCTCTTCTCAGTCACAACAGTCTTTGTCATCCAAGCCCTGGCTGGAAGTCACCTAGCCAGGCTGCAGGGGCGGGCCTGGCTTCTGCTTGTGTGCTGTGCAGGGAGCTGTTTAACTGCCACTGATTTCCAACAGCCTCCCCCACTGCAGACCCAACCACACACATGTTAATCCCTCTGTCCTCCACTATCTCCGTGTCTCCGGATCTAATTCTGGGAAACCGGGATCCACGGGAGGCCAGAGAGGGGGAAAGGGTGGGGTTAAAGAGAAAAGGGAAAACTGGGTGGGGAATGGATACCAATAAAACAGCGCCTTCTGAGAGTGCATGGGGAAAAATGCTAGCCTGGAGTAGGCCAACAAAACAGCTCATCTTCTGCCATCATTAGAAAAACAGATGGCAGCAGGGTGGGGAGGCAGGAGAGAGGGGAGTGAGTCATCCGCTGGGCAGGGAGTAGGAAGAGGGGAGAGGAGGCCAGGGAAGGAGGGAGATAAACAGACAGAGGACTCGCTCAGGCTGCTGGGAGGAGATCAAAGGTATCCTGAGAATTCCCTTCTGCTACTTCAACGCACAATGGCAAGTGGGAGGGAGGGTGGATGACAGGGTTTGGAGCTGGCGATGGTGCTTCCCAGGTTACAATACAGAGCTTTCCACATGCGTCCTCCCCGCTCCCCACACCCAGAACACCCTTCCTTGGCCCCTGTCAGTCCTTTTGTTGATGTGACCAGGACCAACGCTGCTTTCCCCGGATGTCCTCCCTGCTCCACTGCGGCTCTGCACAGCTGAGCTGTGAACCCGGTAGACTTGTTCTCAGTGCTTCTCAAAGTGCGGGCCCTGAACCAGCATGCCAGCATCACCTGGGAACTTGTTAGCCATGCGCACTCTCAGGTCCCTGTGCAGACCTGCTGCATCAGAGAGGGGCCCAGCAGTGTGTGTTTTAACAAGGCTTCCAGGAAATTCTGATGACCGCTCAAGTTTGGGAACCACCGCCCTACGTGCTGTGGGAGCGAACAAGAGGGTTCCTAGGCTTTGCATCTGTGTTTGGAAGCGTTCTTTGTCCGGGAACAATTATAGCCAACATTATTTGCTCTATTTCCTGAGATCCCATGGGCAGGACAGGGTTTGAAAAGCTGGATGTTGGCTTCTAGTCTCTCAGCGAAGGCCAAGAGGACAGAAACCCATTCCGCTGGGAAGGGAAGAGCAAGGAAAAGGAGAAGCAATGCCCACAGGAAAGGAAAGGAAGCTGGACAGGGGAGGAGACCTGCAGAGCAGGTGAATGAAGTGAGAGAGAGAGGAGAGGGACTGAAACTGGCACGGGCTGGGGGCAACTTGGCGCGCACTTAATTCTTTACTGGAAAAGGTCAGCTAAATATGTTAAGGAGAACTGAAAAATTCCAAAGCCCGAAAGAGAGAAGACAGACCCAGAAGCAGGACGAAGCCAAGGAATTGGGTGGGTGAGAGAAGTTTTAAGAAATGCGGCACGGAGATCTCAACTGAAATTGGGCCTTTTTCTGCCCAGAATCTGAAAGAGCTTACTTGCTTGCTTGCTGTTTTATTCTAATACAAAGTGTAATCCTGTGATACCCTCCTTCAGACATTCAGCCTTGCAGGAGTGGAGTGCATCATTCATGTTTCTCCATTAAAGCCAGGCAATAAGTCCATCACCCCACCTCTCCAGCCTCTGTTGTATTTTTTGTCTTCTGCACCTTTGTCCATGTCATGTCCACTCACCATATCCCCTTTTGCCTTCATTTCTCCACCATTCTAGGCTTCTCACATTTCTTAAGGGGCCTGTAAGTGTTCCTGTAAAAAAGATCCTGTCCAAATCATTCCATTTTTTTCTTAATACTTAGATTCCCCTTTTTGCAGCAAGAACATACATATTGCATATCTGTAAGCCAAGCTTGTTCTTTGGAAGCTGCAAATGGACATGGACTGGCAACTTGTTTAGCTGAAAGGATTTGAAGTCCAACAAACCTAGATGCAAATCCTCACTCAGGGAGGCATTGTCAGCCTCAGTGTCGGAATCTGCACTGGGAAGTGGGACAGCAGAGTCATTTTATGGAGTTGATAATGAGGATTAATGTGATAACCCACATAAAGTACTTAGTGTCGTGCTGGGCCCCTAAGAGAGTCTTATGAAAGGGTGTCTTTTGTTGTGCGCTGTTAGCTGTCTCATGAATCCTTACTCAGTGGACAAAGCAGAGCAGGGGCATTGCTGCTGGAATGACCTTGATATAATTAGGTACAAACTCTGAAGGTGGGAAAAGGGAATGAAAAGAGAAACAGAGTGTTCCCATGGAGAATCACTGAGATCGACAATTCACTAATCGCTTGGAGACGGTTAGCCATTATGTCTGATCGTCCCCAGGTCAGCTGGCCAGCAGATCCTGATATGAGTGGCTCTATTCATTCCTGTGGACACCACCCGGTTGGGTCTCAGTGTTTCTCTCCTGGGCTGCTGCATTCCTTTTCTCATTGTTCTGCCTATGCCCGCACCTGTGTCCGTCAGTTACCTTCATCCTCTCTCCTGCTATGCATGATGCTTCCTGTCGAGTCTGTCTTCTACTAGTTATATTTCAGGAACTCCCAATTGTTCGCACATTTAAGCCACATGCCTTTGTGTGTAGTAAATGGACCTTTGTCTTTCAACCTCTTGTCTTTTCGTATCTCTGTGTGCACTCTTTTCTCCAGACATAAGAAACTTTTGCAATCCAGTGTTCTGAAAGTGCATGGGTTTTGTACTCTGGGCATGCTTGCTGTGAGATTGAACATTGGTCCCACTTGCTGGGTGGCACTCGGCAAGCTCCTTTGCCTTCTTGTACCTCACTACCATCAACAGTTTTTATAGGGTTATTAAAATAGGGTTTTAACAGCAATGCCTGTTTCATAAAGTTGTTGGGAATGTTCCTTCATAAAGCCACATTTACAAATGGAATACTATAGGCAGTGAACTCAGTCTAATGTTTTGTACATTAAACTCAAGAAATATTTATGTACTAATATACAATTTAACTTGCACATTGCTTATGAAGTGATAGATAAGCATATTAATCTTCAGTGATAAATATGTAGGAGAGAATAATGTGAAGAGTATCCATTTTATTTATTTTTTAAATTTTTTATTTAGTAAATATAAATTTTCAAAGTACAGTTAATGGATTAAAATGACTCCCCCCATAATTTCCCTCCCACTCACACCCCTCCCATCTCCCGCTCCCTCTCCCATTCCATTCACATCAAGATTCATTTTCAATTATCTTTATATACAGAAGATCAATTCAGTGTATATTAAGTAAAGATTTCATCAGTTTGCACCCACACAGAAACGCAAAGTGTAAAATACTGTTTCAGTACTAGTTATAGCAATTACTTCACATTGGACAACACACTAAGGACAGATCCCACATGAGAAGTAAGTACACAGTGACTCCTGTTGTTAACTTAACAATTTGACACTCTTGTTTATGGCGTCAGTAATCTCCCTAGGCTCTAGTCAATAGTATCCATTTTATCAATCATAGAAATAATATTATTATTCCACACAATTCCATGCCCCTCATCTCTGTACCTGTTGTATCCCCTTCCTGGATTTCTGATCCACTCCATGTTTCTCTCTGTCAGTGACTCTCAACTGTGAATAATTTTACACCCTGCACCCCCTACTAGGGGACATTGGGTAATATTTGAAGACATTTTTTTTGTCATGAGTAGGTGAGCGATAAGACCTACTGAAGTCTCGTGGGAGGATACCAGGAATGCTGCTAAGCATTCTACAGGGCACAGACAGCACCACGCAGCAGTTATCCTTCCCGAAGTGTCAGCAGCTTTGCTGTTGAGAGACTCTGTGCTGGAGCATCTCCATTGATTCTCCAGCGCATTTCCAGACATCTCCTCCTCTTCTGCCACCACCCGCCCCTATCCGTAGACGAGGTTTGCAGCCAATCTCTGGTCTCCATTTTACCACTTACCACCTTAGGGAAGGTGTTGGCTTCCTGTGTGTCAGTCTGCCTACACCATGACCGCTTGCATGCTGAAAACATCATCTTTCTGTTAGTTTCTTCTGTTGT